TAAGGGGAAAAAAAATCACCCTTTAATTAAACAATTGAACTCTATTACGATATGCCTGTTTTCCTATATGTACTGTGTTTTTCCTATGCATGCATACCTATGATCAAGTTTAATTTATAAATTAGGCACAGTAAGAATTTAACAGCAGTTATAATTAACTTTTTTTTTTTTTTTTTACCAAAAAGAGAAAAACTGGGAAAAATTGCTTCATGTTATTTTTGAGGGCTAGAATTGAAATGTCACTATGCAACAGCAGATGGCATGCCGAACGGTTCAATAATATACCGAACCTCGATAGATTCATGGGCCAACGGTATCATTACACACCTATAAGCCAATCAAATGTTTCAAATCGTTGAAAGATAGGGGAGGGGGGATACCAATGGCCAATCAGCTTTCAGCTGGGGCCAGTGCCTCTGTGGCCTTGTCCCTGTATGTAATAATAATAATAATAATAATAATAATAATAATCAATACTTTTATTGATCCCCATGGGGAAATTGTCTTTACGCCTCCCTCAACTTGCTCTTTGGAGAGTAAGCTGACCCCTGAACTGGGGACTGAATTCTAGGCTCAGTCGTATATCAGGGATCTTTATCTTTCTTTAAATTAAGGGCTTCAATTTTAGCCTAGAAGCTCAGTACAGGCAGGTAGGAAAAACGTCTTACATCATGCCCAGCAACTTAGAAGAGAACATTCCAAACTAACTATGTTCGGTATCATTTGCCCGCCTGGGGGGGTTAATGCTGAAAATTCACACCCATGGAAAATCAGACACGTCTTCTCACCTTCAGGTCCCTGTGCACTATCTGCTTCTGGTGACAGTACTGCACTGCAGAGACGATCTGAAAGACACACGTGAGTCTCTGAGGCTCCCCGACTTTCTGCGCTCTGGGCGTCGTCGGACACCCTGCTGAAGCTTCGCACAGCCCCAGCACAGCCTCAGCACAGCCTCAGCACAGCCCCAGCACAGCCTCAGCACAGGCGCCTGATGGTGCTGATCAGAGATCACTGAAGGGGTGGGTAACTCTACAAACACAGGTCTCATTAAGGTGACCGCCTGCAGTAGCTGACAGCGCCCCCCCCCCCCCCCCGATGTGGATTCGGTGGTCACCCAACACTTTTCCCAACACTTGAATTCCTTTTGCCGTGTACTCGTCTCAGCCACCGGATTAATTTCTCAGAGCCCAGCCATTGTCTGAAAGCTGCTTCCTGCTGACATCGCCAGACAGCTGAGGCCCCCGATCCCATGCCATCCGAACTAAATTACATTTCGACTGATTCACCGAAGAAGCCACTTCATTAGCAGAGCTAATGAGAACCAGAGCTTATCTGAAACGCTACAACTGACAGCGAGGAACTGTCGCTTTTTTGGTGCAACAACTCACTCTGTCCCCAGTGGCACTCCGTGCAAAAGTCTCACTCTTCATTCATAAAGTCTGCGTATGGGTATAAGGCTGAAACGTCTTCAGGAGCATGTTCTGAAATACGGTACTATCCCACCCATGGCCACTAGATGTCAGCATGGAGAGGAAAGGCACTCGTGAAATAGAGATGCACTTTCTCCCGGAAGGTGATTTAGCAGTTTGTGTGTGTCTGGAGCACAGATTACACTGTTTGTACAAGTAATACCGTCTTTCGAAGGAATCTGGGAAACAAAAATCTGAGCTGGCAGCAGACTGAAGTATCTGAAAGTTACATACCTAAAACAGTCAGAGGTACATGATCCAATAGTTAAACATCAATCTAATGAAGACGCTGGTGGGTGCTTTTGATCTACAGCAGAGCGGCACACAGGAGGCAGCCGGTCACGGCACGGACAGCGATACGGCTGCCTGCATTCCTCATTCTCCCCCATAGAATGCATCCCCCCCCCCACCCCCACTCCCCCAGCCTGAAGACTCACCTGTCGAAACTTTGCCCTGGCCTCTTTCTCCTTCATCCTCCCATGGGCCACCAGATAGTCAAAGACCTCACCTGGGACAGCATGCAACAGCAGGAGGAGATAAGGAACGACACACGAGTTGAGGACTACACAAACATCACCGGAACAAATGTGGGACGAGCTAGAAGTCTGGAAAATCAACACCTATCACTCAAAAAATCTGGCCTGGAAATTCCAGAACTGGGCTAAGATCCAACGGGGGGGGGGGGGTGGCCATGAACAAGGACAGGACAGAGTCTGCCTGGACAGCTGAGGCAGCCAGCCAATGGACTTCCCACCCCCCGCCTGTCAGCACCCTGAAGAAAGGGCAGGAAGTGACACGGGGTTACACTCCCAGGCTCCCAGTCGGATTCCATTGGCCAGTGCCGATGGAAAAGGGCCTGTTCATTGGCCAGCGTTTTCAAATCCCCGCCCTTAACATCACCACTGTAAATAGTTTTCGGATGGGAAACAGGAGGTGTAGGGATGGTCATTCCTTTGGCTGGCACAGCCCCTGCCTTCAGAGAGCAGTCTGGCTGCCCCATGTGCTTAAATACCCCAGCATGACAGCTGTCACATTTTCTAGATTTTTCCCCCACACTACTTCTGAGTTTTGCACTTACCCCCACTGGCGTACTCCATTACTAAATAAAGTGTCTTCTCTGTTTCGATGACTTCAAATAACTTAACTGTAAAGAGAGAGAGAGAGAGAGAGAGAGAGAGAGAGAAAGAGAGAGAGAAATAACTCAATAGAAAAACTAAAAGAGGCACTTGGAAGATTTCTCAGCAAATCCGCTTCCCTGAAAACTCCTCGGGACGACATATAAAACCTCAACAGAGGTGTCCTGTGTCATTCATATGTCATTCCCCCCATCAATACAGCATCCATTGGGGAGGGGATGGAAATCGAGACCATGGTTTTGTACGCCGTCGACCTCTGTGTGTCTTTGGCTCGGGCGCAAGAACATTGTGGAAAGCTGGAATGGGCCCAAGCGAATGTTAGCGCAGGCCGACGCTGTGCTGCAGATACGGGCGCAGAAATACGATTGGCCCGGCGTAACTGCAACTGTGCGGAAGTGTGTCGCGTTGATATTCCAGCTTACGAATGATAGGGCTGGCAGAGGGGATGTGTAGCCTGTGTCTCTCTAACAGTGGGGGAAAGACCATTAACCTGGCAAGAGTACAAAGTGACCGACGATGGAGGCCAGGTTGCGGGACATCAGTAACTAGTTAACTGTCCTTTTAATTATCCGATTTTAGACACAAGGACGGAAATAGACAGAGCAACCATGTTTTCAGTCCCCAACCGATGCCACCGTTCGGATGGAACAGTTGGAAAAACAAGCGAGGAGAAAAGGAGATGTTTGTGCTTCCCCATCCTGATGTTTGTGCTTCCCCATCCTGTGTTTACTGTACACCAAGGCATCCCGTTTGTGCACAATCACAGAGTTAAGGCACTTCTGCACCCGACGCTGCGGGCCTATTCTAATCCGCTGCTGGAACCCGTCCAACGCAAACAGCGAGCGAACAGAAGAACGTATTGAATACGGCACCTACGGGAGTGTCAGGTTTGAAGCGAAACGTGTGCCTCATCGTTGACGCGCTGCTTTTTTAACCCTGCAATGGCTACCGCGGACGCCGGGGAATGAACACGCATGCCTGCACCTCCCCGCCCTCTTCCCTCCCGCCAAGGAAAAGCTCGGTGTGGATGCTTGTGTATCCTGACGGCTCCATAGCTTACTTAGAAAACCCCACGTATCACCGGGAAATAAAAACAGGCGGAGGCAGAGAGAATACTAAACAGCCCAGCTGTCCTCCTGTACAGGCTTAAACAAACCTTTTAAGGCATAAAAAACACAGCTTCCTGAGTTTTCATGGTGGCTTCACATTAAAATACCGTCTTTCAGTGCGTCTGGCCCGTTAGCATTAATGCAGGCTCAGCCCAGATCAGTGGGTGCCATCCTCACGCCGAAATAAACGAACGGCAGAAAAGAACCGAAACCACAACAGCCTCATCAGCCCAATTTTATTTACACAAAAATGTTCTGAGGGCAGAAGGAAGAATGATTGCTTCAGAGCGATAACCAATCAGATTGTAGAGGAGGTGGGTCCAAGCAACTATAGGAGGTGCTTTAACCCACCTCTGCTACAATCTGATTAGTTATCTCTCTGAACCAATCATTCTTTTTCTGCCCTCAGAACGTTTTTCTGTAAGTAAAACTCCCATGATCTGTGGGCTTGGCTATGCCGCTGCTTTGCAGATTCCTGTTCTTTCATTTTATGCGTTTAATGGGACACATGAAGGGAATCATCCTGCCATTTGTGGTACAATAACTGCTGGGGAACGGATGTGCTAATGAGAAACATGAACACACAGAAAAATGGCGTCCTACCTATATTTGGATGATTCAAGATCTTCATTATCCTCACTTCCCGAAAGAGCTGTGGAATAAAGACAACAGATTAATACTCATGAATAAAAAATAAAAAAACATTCACAGAGGATGCTGGTTTTGTCACCTGCAACGACCTCGACAAGAGCATGACCACGTCTGTCATCATCTTCTAAAACATGCATTTTAAATAAATACTTTGCTTCTCAGCACAAAGCAAGTGTAACAGCAGAATCACTGTGATCACCGTCCATCCATTTTCCATGCTGCTTGTTCGGTCGAGGGGCTCTGGAGTCTGTCCCAGAAAGTACAGGCACAAGGCAGAGAATAACCCAGGACGGGGTGCTGACCCATTGCAGGGTGCACTCACCATTCACTCACCATTCACTCACCATTCACACACATTCACACGCATTCACACCTACAGGTAATCTGGTAACTCCAATCACCTTAGCGTGTTTTGGATTGTAGGAAAACCCAAATTACCAGGAGGAAACCCCACAATGACACAATGATATGCAATCTCCACACAGGCAGAGCTGGGGCGGACACTCGAACCCTGGTCTCCAGAGGTGTGAGGCGACTGCGCCAAAGTGTTGCCCCCCCATCTCCATCAGCTGGATGGTAATAATACAGGTACTCAACAGTAATGGGCAAATGCCGAAATTCAAGGTAGGTTGAAAGGTTATCGACTTTCACTGGATTTTTCTTCTTTGCGTCACACCCCCCGCCAGTGCTCCCCCTCCCGCCCAGAAGGACCCCTGCTTTTCCAAACTCGCCACTGGGTGATACAAGTCTGGACGTCACACTCCAGAAAGTTACCCGTCATTTTCTGAGACAAGGACTCTTCATAAGCCACAACAAGCTGGCAAATCGCTCCAGTTATCTGAGCCGCAGCCAGCTGAAGACGGCGCTCTCTGCCTGGTCCCGCTCCCATTCATAAGGAATGCAGATAAGGTCGGATTTACAAGTGTGCTGTCACCGCTGGGCTCCGCTCATTAGCTTGACATCTGGGGTCAAAGGTCACATATAATTCTCTTAGAGCCTGCCGAAAGGGAGACGCCAAAACTTGGCTGTCAGCTTTTCTCTTTCATGTGCAGTGACTTCACACTGGAATGCTGCGATCGAACCAGTGGAACCACTGACAACAAAAGGGCCCATAGCATGGGCTCGAACTGCAGTCTGGCACACAGAAGATCATATCCCTAACAAATACCCAGAATCAACTCTCTTGAGAGTGAGCAAACAAGCAAAGAGGCCAAACTGGTAGAGTAACACTTTCAAGCTAAAATGTTTTATTAAGTTTGTTATAAATCAATAAATGCCTGACTGCAAAGCTAAATTCTTCCGAGGACCATGTGGTTAAAACAAATGGACCAGATACCAATCAATCCAGCATGTGGGCACTACCCCCCTCCCCCCACCTCAGAATCCGCCAGATGTGGACGGGATGGATCCAGGGGTGGATTTTCAATACGGCTAAAGGCGTGAAGAAAAATACTCTCACAAGATGAAAAATGGCTCGGAAAAAAGCAGCACATGTGGTTTGGTACAGCATGCGCTCAGACGAGAACATTCATCGCATGTCACGTTTATACATTTAGCAATAGCTGCTTATCTGGCTTGTCAGGTTGGAAAGTACTAAAACGTGTCCATGTCAGAGCGGTTCAGTTCTGCCCCCTTGTGTGACCTGACACGTCAACACGTGGTCCAAATTTCCCTGCCGAAACCAGGACTTCAACTGAACAACAACGGGGGGGGGGGGGGGGTCATTATGAGTTTTTATCCCAAACACAAAGCTTTCAAGGAGCATTAAAGGAACATGTTAAAAGGGGAGGAGTCCTGACATCAGAGAGGGAGGATCTGCGATTGGTCAGCAGGGAGACGGGAGGGGCCAGTCTCCATGGAAACTGGAGAGCTATGCCAGCCTGACGTTCCCTGCAGGACCAGCCAATTAGCCCAAGACTGTAAATATTATTACGAAGGTGGGATAAACCTCACAAATCTCAGCTTTTAATGGTTAACTTTGGCAGAGAACTACTTCCTGTGTGCTGTGGTTTCCCCTCGGTGGGGGGTAAGAAACATCTCTCACCCCAAGTGCTGAACCCCAGCCACTAAACCCCAGACTTAGCCGACAGCTGGGGGTTTGCAGTGAGAATAAAGGAGTGGGCTGTACCATCCCAATAAAAATAATAAAAACATATTAATTCAACTGCAATAAAATATACAGAAAACAATGGGCCTCAGTTTAGCCGTCCAGCTTTAAAGTGCAGCATGAATAAAGTCCAGCAAAAGCAGCAGTAGGAAGCATGTGACCAAGTGTGTGACCAGTGATGGATAAAGGCGTCCTTACATCGAGTCAGAAGATGCTGAGAAGAGGCAAGCAGAACAACACGGGGGGCGGGGCCTGGACCGCTGTTGGGAGATGGCGGGACGGGGAGATGGCGGGACTGGGAGATGGCGGGACTGGGAGATGGCGGGACGGGGAGATGGCGGGACGGGGAGATGGCGGGACTGGGAGATGGCGGGACTGGGAGATGGCGGGACTGGGAGATGGCGGGACTGGGAGATGGCGGGACTGGGAGATGGCGGGACGGGTAGATGGCGTAGAGTGTTCTCATTGATGCCTTCTCTTGTTCGTTTTGTCAAGGTAGTGATCAATACTAATAGTTATTTTTTCCAGCATTCATCTCTTTATCCATTTTATTTATATTTAATTAGCAGACGCTTTTCCCAAAGTGATGCACATTTTTGAATGCAGGGTGAGAAGCCCCTGGAGCAACTGGGGGAAGCGGTGACCTTCCAATCACAGGCACAACGTCCCGAGCCGCTGAGCCACACGCCGCCCCCATCATTTACCATCACGGGAGGCGGGGTTATTACGACGGGGCGCACACACCACAGGGATGGATCCCTTAGCGCGTGTTTCTCAGCCCCACAGGAAGGGATTCCTCTGACCACAGTGGGAACACAGAGGCGGTGAGCGGCTAAGGCTGCGCTCTGGGGGCTGGTGACACTCCCTGGCCTGCATTTCTCAGTGAGAGCCAGTGTGTGAACAGCCTCCAGCGTGATGGGATCAACACCCCCACGCTGCCCGTGAAACCCCCTGATCCAGCTGATGCAGACTGAGGGCCATGAGCCTGGCAGAACTGTGACCTGCAGAATGCCCCCCTCCCCGCTTCTCACGGACCAGAGAATGGCCGTATGGGCTAAGGGAAGGTAGGAACAGTGACCTCCAAACCGCCACCTGAATAAAACTAGTTAGGTACCCTTTCTCCCTCTCTCTCCCTCTCCCCACCTCTCCCTCAGGTCTCCCAGTCCCCCTCTGTCCCTCTCCCAGTCTCCCAGTCCCCCTCTGTCCCTCTCCCAGTCTCCCTGCAGCCCCCACCACCTCCCCCAGCACGGGATTCACATGCAGTGCGGCCAATCTGACCACAAAGTGTCTGTTTTCTAAACAGGACCCAGACAGAGGCAGAGAAGAGCAGCAGCCCCCAGAGCAGGTGCTGTGGGCTGTTGGACCCTCTCCCCTCCATCTGCTCATACCCTATTAAACCCTCCATCTTCCATAACTGCTCATACACTGCAGGCACCATGATTGTTATGGCACACGCCTGAACACTGCCAGGAGGTCTCAGCTGTTGTACCCTAGAGCGGGCCACTTAACCTCAGTCGCCATAGTAAACGATCCAGCCACATAAACAGCCCTTCGGAGAAAAGCATGACTGTCCACAAAGTGCTAACATGATTAGCCAAGTCCCCGCAAGAACCAGCCACCCCCCCACCAGCCTATTTTCAATCAGATTTCATGTATGACAGACCTCATGAATTTTTGCTGTGACGTGATTCTGACCCAAGGCCTTCCGCATACCATACCACACCAGCCCCAGGACCGGGTCGGGGGGGGTTAGGGTGAGGGTTGGTGGGGGGAGGCTGGACCGGCTGAGAGCGCCCCACCTCCATGGTTCCACCTGGCATCACAGGAGGTGGCTCAGACAAGCAGGATCAGTATGGAACCCGGACCAGAATAGTTTAACTGTCAAAGGGAGCCTGGTTCATCCACAAGGACAGAGTGAACCCGAGGTCAAGGTCACAGATCCCAGGTGTGACAAGAAGAGACTCCTGCCGTTTTGCAGCAGATAAACATGCACACGCACGCACACATGCATGCACACACACAAACACATGCGCACACACACACGCTTACACATGCACACGCGCGGACACATGCACACACACGCTTACACATGCACACGCACGCACACATGCACACGCACACATGCATGCACACACACAAACACATGCACATACACGCTTACACATGCACACGCACGCACACATGCACACACACGCTTACACATGCACACATAGTTCTGCTGCATGTCACCTTGCAGGGTTGAAATGCACGCCCCTTTTCCAGAAACCCCGGGAGGCTGTATGATAAAATAAACCAGAGACTGGCGGAGGGGTAATCAAAAACAAAAACGACAGCAATGCTATCCTGGGGTTGTGCTGGGGCTTGATGTGCTTGGGCAGTGGCTCCATCTTCATGAAGCTGCTACTGACAGCGACATGAATCCCAGCTGACGCACTGGGCTTCCGCCTTCACATCCTTGGTACCTCAGCTCCCCCCCACCCCCCCAAACCCAACTCGTCCGCAAATAAATTCCCGTGGTTTGGGGTCTAAAAATAGCCTCAGCAGATCTGAGTCATTCACAGGAGCGCTGGCGTGAAGGACCGGCACGCCGCGCTTCCTCTGCCTCACCCCCAGGTCCGCTGGTCACACTGCCCCCCCCTTAAGGTCAGAGTGGACCTTGCTTCCAATCCCGGTGACCTCTATCTGTTATCGCGGTCTTATAGAGGGCTGTCGGGGCAGAGAGGAAGCGAGCGGACAGAGTGAGGATTTATGTCCTCGGGGGAGCATTCCTCAAGGCCGTAATTTAACAGGGATGACGGCCCCCGTCTTGGCTGGAGCCCCCGTCTCGCCGTTCCAAAACCCTATCTGGCTCTGTCGTTTTCCTGTGGATAACGTTTTCCGCATAACGAAAAAAC